GAAAAGGTAATATCATTCTCGTATGTGGGACCGTACCCCCAGGGGCACGGAAATAACAATCCCGTATGTGGGACCGTATTCCCAGGGGCACGTAAATAACTATCCCGTATGTGGGACCGTACTCCCAGGGGCATGGAAATAACAATCCCGTATGTGGGACCGTACTCCCAGGGGCACGGAAATAACAATCCCGTATGTGGGACCGTACTCCCAGGGGCACGGAAATAACAATCCCATATGTGGGACCGTACCGCTCTAAGGGTTAAGAAAGTAAAGCGGCTCAGTTTTTGATTTCACGTTGACTTTAACAGGCTTTCAGCTAAAATCAACGGAGAGTTTGAGGAGCAGATCGAGCGGGCAGCTCCGTCGCCTCTGGAGAGGATCTGTAAAGAAATGTAATCAGGTGGAATTAAACAGGGTGAAGATTAAGGCCAATCTGCATGAACCGCAGGGCTTCAGAGCCAAGTTGAATAAGCAAAAAATACTTAAGCAACTTATTAAACTCTTTCACCTTGAGGAAGCGCGGCACGTGAGGGTATTAACTTTATCCTCTTTTACAGTCGCATCTGAATCATGTGCCGCATCTGAAGCAGTGTCACGCAATTAGCTCAATGGAGAGATGATTTAACAAACTGACATCCTTTATTAGCCGAGCAAATCAAAGTGGTCATTTCGCATCAAATTAATCATGCGTGATGTCACCGATATTCGCCTGACGGTCATTAATCTAAATGTTATTGCTTATGAAAGTGGAAGCGGGTGGATTATGTTGTTGTAGTGTTAACAATCGGCCCGTGGCGCGCTGATTATGCTGCATTATGTGGGCTGCGGTGATTCACTCAGGAGAGACAATGAGGAGCGGAGACGAGGCAACAGACGCTTGGCAGCTGCTTTCTTTCCGACAAGCTTCCTCAGTCTGTTAATTAGCTTTAGGAAACGTCATTATTGCGCTGTCAACAGCTCAATCTCCCTCTAGGACATGTGCTCGGCAAATGAAACATGGCTAAAAGACATACGGGTGCTTTTAATCTGTGTACTTCTTTTTGGAGGTGAGTGATTGAAAAGTGAATGTTATGGCATAACAGTGTTATGTTAATTAAAACTACAACTACAATTTTTAAATATTTATTTTTTATTTGTAGCTTTGGTAAAAAACAAACAAACAAAAAAACCTAAAAACCTGAAAAATAAAAATTGGAAATGTTATTTGGCAACTGAAATTATTTAATAATAATAAATAACTGAAATAAGTACTACAATTACTAAAATAGCCCCTGATAGTACGGTCCCACATACGGGATTGTTATTTCCGTGCCCCTGGGATTACGGTCCCACATACGGAATTGTTATTTCCGTGCCCCTGGGAGTACGGTCCCACATACGGAATTGTTATTTCCGTGCCCCTGGGAGTACGGTCCCACATACGGGATTGTTATTTCCGTGCCCCTGGTGGTACGGTCCCACATACGGGATTGTTATTTCTGTGCCCCTGGTAGTACGGTCCCACATACGGGATTGTTATTTTCCGGGCCCTGGGAGCACGGTCCCACATACGTGATTGTTATATCCCACATACAGGATTGTTATTTCCGTTCGCTTGGGAGTACGGTCCCACATACGGGATTGTTATTTCCATACCCCTGGGAGTAAGGTCCCACATACGGGATTGTTATTTCCGTGCCCCTGGGAGTAAGGTCCCACATACGGGATTGTTATTTCCGTGCCCCTGGGAGTACGGTCCCACATACGGGATTGTTATTTCCGTGCCCCTGGGAGTACGGTCCCACATACGGGATTGTTATTTCCGTGCCACGGGATTTAGAACGTTCGATGACGTCACATAACTGCCAAATTCAAACTGTGCTTTTGCGCTTTAGCTGGCGCTGAGCCAGAGAGAGACGTGCACTGCGCTTGTCATATTTTCACAACTATGCAGTGTTTTACACATAATGTTTATTTTAGGTTTCAGACATTTAAATACACACAAGTACTAGTAAAACAATACATTTAGAGTTTGTAAAATACACACATATGTCTATGGAAGCAACAATAACAATCCATTCAAATGTATTTTGCCGGTTTACATTAATATTTGAATATTAATTTATTATTAATATTATTTTTTTTGACATTTTGAATGAGTTTTTTTATGTGGTTTATACAGATGTACGGTTTTTATTAATTTTTTTATCAGTTTTTTATTTTTACATTTTCTGTTTTCATTTTAATTTTAGTTAAAGTTTTAGTAATTTAGTTGTGTTTTTGTCAGTTTAATTAATATTTTTTTATTTTTTAAATACGTATATAAAGTTTTAAATAATTTTTTATTTCATTTTTTGTTTTAGTTGTTTATCTTAGTACATAGTAGTATTTAGTTCAACTAGCTGAAATAAAAAAATATATATATATATATTTAATTTTATTTCAGTTAACATTCTTTTTATTTCAAGTAACAAAATGTTATTTTATTTTATGGTTTTGGTTTTAGTTTTAGTTAACTATACCCTGATATATCTTTATCACTATATCCTGTTGATGAGAGAGCTATTTTAGTATATGCTATTATATTATTAATATTTTGAATTAGCTTTTATTTTTTATTTTAACTTTTCATTTTAACTTTTAAAAATACAGTTTAGAAAGTTTAGCTAAACTAAAGTTTTAAAAATGTTGTTATGCACTTTTGTTAGTTTTTTATATATTTCTTTTTTATTGCAATATGTATATTTTATTTTAAGTACTTCAACTTAAAGTTTTCACTTAGTCGTCAAGCAACATTTATACATTTCATTTAAATTTAGTTTTTTTTTTATTCTAATACATACAATATATATATATATATATATATATATATATATATATACTGTATATACATACACACACACACAAAATGTTGTGGTTGGTATGATTTTACTGGATTTTAAAGAAATTGTGCTCACCAACACTGAATTGATTTGATCAAAAATACAGTAAAGACAGTAAAATTTAGATTTTTAGTGTTATAACAACTCTGGTCAATGACATTTAAGCACAACTTTTGATGCTTAATACATGCTGAAATGGTTTATATTAGTATGAAGGACTGTTTGATGTTGACTTTATACTTACGGAAGGTGTGTTCTCTGTGTTTGTGTGCATAAGTTAGCGTGAGGTGTGTTAATGTTTGTGTTTCCGCAGGGCAGCACTCTGTAGATGATCTCGGGCAGCTGTCCTGGCAGGGCGAGCTGGACGTTCCTCTGTCCTACAGTATGTATCGTGCTTCAGACACCACACACATGCTCCTCCTGCTCACAGGTGACCTTTGTGCTCTACAGAACTGCTCTTTAGATGTTCCAGGATCTGTTGGAACCGAAACAACTGAGTGATAAAGGCTGCTTTTGAGCGGAGGAAAAACTTGCAGCAAAAATGTCCTAAAATCAGGCATCAATAAGCAAGTTCATTTTATAAGAAGCCTTGAATATTAAACTCATTTGGCACATCTTTACGAACACTTAACCAAAATGTAATCTGATTTCAAGGGTAATTGATTTATTTATTACAATTTACATGTGTACACTACCATTAAAAATTTCGATTTTTAATGTTTTTTAGAAAGAAGTTTCTTCTGCTCACCAAAACTGCATTTGTTTGATCAAAAATACAGTAAAAACAGTAATATTGTGAAATATTATTACATGTTTTCTTACGTTGTAACTTTTTAATTAATATATTTTCATATATTGTAAAATAATTTATTCATTATTCAATTTATGCAAAGCTGAATTTTCAGCATCATTACTCAGTCTGTTTGATACAGACATCTTTTGTAACATTATAAATGTCTTTACTGTCACTTCTGATCAATTGAATGCATCCTTGCTGAATAAAAATAATTTCTTTAAAAAAAAATGTTTTGTGTGTTTTTAGTTACTTACCATATTGCATTTTTAGTTCGTTTGTTTGTGTATTTATTTATTGCTGTTATTTTTCATTATTTATTTTATTTTATTTTTGCTTGATTTTGGGACATTTTTTCTATCTTTAAGTATTTTGCTGGTTTCAAAGTGTTCATTTTTGCAGTGTCCCGTCTAGAAGACATGCTGAGATGTTTTGTCAGATTTCTATTCGAGGAAAGATTTGAATCTTGCTCAAATTGAATGTTGGGTTTTGTTTATTGTGTGTGTATTTGAGAATGATTTTGACATTAACAGATGTTACATGTAGTGTTTTATAGTTTGATTTTAATCTGGGTGCTTGTAGGGTAAATGGCGTTTTCGTGTTTGGAAAGCAGTGGTTCTGCTTCAATGTGTTCCCTTGTGCTTCATATAAACTAACTTTTTGATTTATTTCACCTCCAGCAGAAGCAAGTTTGTTGTTGGTTCATTTCTCGGCGTTTTTCCAGTACAGTATCTCTAGGTTATTAATGACTGTTGTTGCGGATTTCTCCTCGCTGTTACCATGGTGATCCTTTTAACTACTGTAGCATATAATTTAACAACAGCGTTTGACTCTGAACCAGCAGAAATGCCTCTTTGTTCAAAGCATGGGATTTTCCTCTGACCTGCGTTAATTAGAGCTTTAATTATACAGCAAACGTTCAACAAACATTATTAGTGCTGTTTGTAAAAGCTATGGCTCATACTCAGAGGCGGACAAAGTACTCAACTCCATTACTTGAGTGAAAGTACAGATACTGCTGGTCAAATATTACTCCATTACAAGTAAAAGTTGTAAAGACAGATTTTTACTTAAGTAAAAGTACAGAAGTACTTGCTTTTAAAAGTACTTAAGTACCAAAAGTAAATTTCCTTTTTTATGTCAATGCACTGTTTTATTGTTGTACGTAATACTTGCAATACTTCTGAAGCAACTTACATATTTTTAGGTTTTTAATTTAAATTGGAAAGTTTTAGTAATTTTGTTGTGTGTTTCTGTCCTTTTTATTATTTGTTTAATGTCTATATAGTTTTTTGTAATATTTTAAATTAATTTTATTTGTATGTTTTTATTTCATTTTAATTTTAGTTAAAGTTTTAGTAATTTTGTTGTGTGTTTCTGTCATTTTTAAATGTCTATATTTTTTGTTTTAATTTTACTTTTAAAGTTGTGTAATTTTGTTGTGCTTTTGTCTTTCTTTTTTTACATATATCTGTATAGTTTTTATTAATATTTTAAATTGTTTTTTATTTTAATTCTGTTTTTAATTTAATTTTAGTTTAAGTTTGAATAATTTTGTTGTATTTTTGACATTTTTTTATTCATTTTATATATTTTTATTTGTCTGCATAGTTTTTATTATTATTTCAAATTATATATTTTTTTATTTTCTGTTTTTGTTTTAATTTTAGTTGGTTTTAGTAATTTTGTCAAAGGTTTTTGTCATTTTTATAATTTTTTGTTATATATGTCTATATAGTTATCGTTAATATTTTATTTTTATTTTATTGTTTAATATTTGCCTTTTTTAATTCTATTCTTTTTTGTCTCTACAGTTATTATTATTTGTTTATTTCACTTTTATTTTAGTATACCTCAACTTAAACTAAATGAAAAGGAGAAATGATGCCTTGGAAATTAGCTGAAATAAAGTTTTTTTTTTATTATTATTATTTTTAATTTATTTATTTCAGTTAAAATGTTACAACATTATACAAAATTTGATTTCAAGTGAAAAGTGTTTTTTATGGTTGTAGTTTTAGATATCTTTAATAACCCTGGCATACACGTGTTCATGCATTGCAGGTCAAGTGAGTCCCATTGGTCCAGCCTGAGCTAATAGACTGTTTTACAGCTGTTGTGTTGTAGATGCGTTTCGGCCATCCGTAAGGACTCTGTGTGTAATCGCAGCAGATTTTCAGTGACCCCGCGAGCAGGAAGGTAATATCTTTGGCAGTATTTCAGCTCAGATGTTATCCGCAGCTGAAGCCTTGCACCTGTTTTGACGTCCAAACAGACTGTGGCGTTTCAGAGATCAGTGCCGAGGAGCGCTCAGATCCACTTAGACGTCAGACACAAACAGCTGCCTGTCACTATGAGCTGACTGACAGGCTCTGTGTAAAGTTGAATAACCTTGCCTAAGCGCGTAACGCCATTCACATCAATCATCTGTAGTGAAGGCGACACTTGATATTTTGAATGTCGTGACAATTTCCACATCAAACGCATAAGATGAAGCTTAAACTCTTAAAGGGTTAGTTCACCCAAAAATTAAAATTAGTCCATAAATTACTCACCCTCAAGTCATCCTAGGTGTATATGACTTTCTTCTTTCAGACGAATCCAGTCGGAGTTATTTTAAAAAAAGTCTTCGATCTTTCAAGCTGTTTAATGCCACTCAGCGGGTGTTGCATGCATCAGTCCAAAAGAAGTTAAATAAAAAGCGCCCATCCATAAAAAAATGTCTCACATGGCTCCGGGGGGTGAACAAAGGCCTCCTTTAGCGAATTTATGCGTTTTTGTAAGAGACATATCCATATTCAAAACGTAATAATCACTTTAATGTACAGTGGGGCAAAAAAGTATTTAGTCAGCCACCAATTGTGCAAGTTCTCCCACTTAAAAAGAAGAGAGAGGCCTGTAATTTTCATCATAGGTATACCTCAACTATGAGAGACAAAATTAGAAAAAAAATCCAGAAAATCACATTGTAGGATTTTTAAAGAATTAATTGGTAAATTCCTCGGTAAAATAAGTATTTGGTCACCTACAAACAAGCAAGATTTCTGGCTCTCACAGACCTGTAACAACTTCTTTAAGAGGCTCCTCTGTCCTCCACTCATTACCTGTATTAATGGCATCTGTTTGAACTCATTATCAGTATAAAAGACACCTGTCCAAAACCTCAAACAGTCACACTCCAAACTCCACCATGGCCAAGACCAAAATTGTAGACCTCCACCAGGCTGGGAAGACTGAATCTGCAATAGGTAAGCAGCTTGGTGCGAAAAAATCAACTGTGGGAGCAATTATTAGAAAATGGAAGACATACAAGACCACTGATAATCTCCCTCGATATGGGGCTCCACGCAAGATCTCACCCCGTGGGGTCAAAATGATCACAAGAACTGTGAGCAAAAATCCCACAACCACACGGGGGGACCTAGTGAATGACCTGCAGAGAGCTGGGACCAAAGTAACAAAGGCTACCATCAGTAACACACTGCGCCGCCAGGGACTCAAATCCAGACGTGTCCCCCTGCTTAAGCCAGTACATGTCCAGGCCCATCTGAAGTTTGCTAGAGAGCATTTGGATGATCCAGAAGAGGATTGGGAGAATGTCATATGGTCAGATGAAACCAAAATAGAACTATTTGGTAAAAACTCAACTTGTCGTGTTTGGAGGAGAAAGAATGCTGAGTTGCATCCAAAGAACACCATACCTACTGTGAAGCATGGGGGTGGAAACATCATGCTTTGGGGCTGTTTTTCTGCAAAGGGACCAGAACGACTGATCCGTGTAAACGAAAGAATGAATGGGGCCATATATCGTGAGATTTTGAGTGAAAACCTCCTTCCATCAGCAAGGGCACTGAAGATGAAACGTGGCTGGGTCTTTCAGCATGACAATGATCCCAAACACACCACCCGGGCAACGAAGGAGTGGCTTCGTAAGAAGCATTTCAAGGTCCTGGAGTGGCCTAGCCAGTCTCCAGATCTCAACCCCATAGAAAATCTTTGGAGGGAGTTGAAAATCCATGTTGCCCAGCGACAGCCCCAAAACATTACTGCTCTAGAGGAGATCTGCATGGAGGAATGGGCCAAAATACCAGCAACAGTGTGTGAAAACCTTGTGAAGACTTACAGAAAACATTTGACCTCTGTCATTGCCAACAAAGAGTATATAACAAAGTATTGAGATGAAATTTTGTTATTGACCAAATACTTATTTTCCACCATAATTCTTTAAAAATCCTACAATGTGATTTTCTGGATTTTTTTCTCATTTTGTCTCTCATAGTTGAGGTATACCTATGATGAAAATTACAGGCCTCTCTCATCTTTTTAAGTGGGAGAACTTGCACAATTGGTGGCTGACTAAATACTTTTTTGCCCCACTGTAGCTTGCGCCAACAGTTCTACACGGAAGCAGCTCCGGGCTGAAAACCAACGTTTGTTTACAGGATCAAAGGAGGCAAAGTTGCCTTACTTTAGCAAAGGAAAACCAGTCTCCTCTTGGCTTATATCGAAATCCTCCGACATTCTTCTTTACAAATCCTCGTCTTGTGCTTCTAATTCTTGACCGTTGTTTTGTTTTGATCTCTCCCCTGCGCTTCTGCGTTCATCACTTCTGAGCAGCGCATGTGCAACGCCGACGTCCTACATCATCCGCCCGGAACTGCTTCCGTGTACAACAGTGAGCGCAAGCTACATTCAAGTGATTATTACG